TTTCCAAGGGAGAAAGAGCTCATCCCCATCATACGGGCACGACGACCCCTCATCGCTTTTCTACAACTCCCGAGAACCCACCCCTGAATTTTCACGGCGATCGGTTCAGGCGTTTGTGAATTTTGCGAATTTCGGATTTTTAATTTTTTCCCGAGTTTTCGTATTTTCGTGGGTGGAGCACTCAAATAATTTTTTCAAGGTAGAAGGACTCATCGCATCGGAGAACTGACCCCCCTATAACCACCGCTGGATCGCCCAGAACACGCTCACAAATTTTCACGACGATCGGTTCAGCCGTTTTTGAGTCTATAGGTGACACCAGACAAACAGACAGACAAACAGACAGACAAACAGACAGACAGACATACGTTTTTATATATATAGATAGATTATGATTCCTATCAATATGGTTTTCAAAATTCCCCTCAGCATAGTAGTGAGAGTAGGGCGCATATATTAACGTGGAATCTACGATCGAAATACCTGAGTCGAGGCGAGAAGCGGAAATCGCGCGATTCCGGCACCAGAAGCAATAGAGGATCGCACGGTTTCCGCGCCTCGCCTCGAAGTCCAAACCCAGATACTACAAGGCCTTGCAGTGATTCCGAGCGGCCATTTCCACCGTTCGGAAAAAGCATTTCCTAAACAGCCTCGGAGGCACACGGGGAAAACCCGCTAAGACGCGGCGTCTCATCAATAGGACTTGCGGGAGAGACTAGACCGTGATATCTCTGCCAGTTTCCCTGAATACGGATGACGGTGAGCTGAACATTGCAAACGTTCGACAGTGCAAACGAACTAAACATACGACATTTCGCCGCGGTCGGGCATAAATCGAGTAAATCGAAGGAACTGACGGTATCGATGAACTTCTCAACGGCATCGGGAACGGCTGCTCAATCCAACCCCCTGACCCCCAATGTTGGCGGCCTCGTTCCAGAGGGATACCGTCAGCGAATTCCGATTTTGATCGAGAATTCGAATCTACCTCTCCAAGATTGGCTGGTTATGCCTCAAAGGGGGAAATTCTCGTACAGGCGAAAGTCCAATGATGATGCCTCGGATATCAACGAGTTTGTCAGTACAGTGTCCAATGGAACCTACTCGGAATGCTCCTTCGGTACGTGGTGAGCTCTGTCGGTGCAGTGGCGGAGTTTCGTTGCTTCTGTCAGAAAAACTCCGAACTTGCTAGGCGCGCGATCATATCTCTTATTAGCGAGTCGAATGCTGGATGTTTCGATTTCTGAGACCGGGTCCTCGCAAAGAAAAGTTGCTGATTAATCATCCGCAGAGATCGTTGGAAGCTACCCTGCGAATGTCAGTAGATTCATCAGTAACAACAGTTCACCCCTGCTATTGGGCTTGTCCCAGGTCACTTTTGGACGAGACCCGGAATCGGAATATTCCTTCCGAGGCAGCCGCTTTCATCGATTTGATCAACCACGAACAGGAGATCACCACACGACACGGCACAGCAATCGATGTAATTTTTATCAGAAACACGTCTAACTACGCCATTATGGTCAATGCAACATATTTCAGTTATCACTAGGCGATCCCTCTCCGCTCCGAACAGAAAAGTCCTTCGTCACTCATCACTTCAGTCTTGATTGAAGAGCAAGTACTTCTTCCGATGAAGAAATTCATCGATAAGGAGCAAATCGAAGCATGCCGCTACGAAAGTCGACCGAGGTCGCATGGAGCTTAGGCTATCGGGGAGGGGGGGACGGCTCGCCACTGAGAGAGAATGTGTTCCTTCGTTTTTGGAGGTCCCTCAGAAAAGTTTCATCTTTCCGACTTCACCTGACGGCCGCCGGAACAGTGTAGGATTCCACGGATTCCAATAAAATCTCAATTGATGTTCATCGCCTTCATCTGAACTGTACCGGACGTTGGAGATTCACTGACCGAGAAGGCGATAGAGGGACCCATCAGGAAGGAGTCAGGGTCAGGAAGCTCGATGGAGATTTTCACCAGAATTATAATACTTTCGACATTCGCAAGACTTTTGACGTCGAAGGACGTCATTGGACTCGCCTGTCGGCGAGAATTGAGAGAGGGCAAAGTGTAACGGCAAAGTGTAACTTGAAAATCTTGTAGATCACAACCTGCAGAGAGATTCAACATGTTTACATTGCATTATTGTACTTCCATTGAGGCTAACATCGATCGCTTTTCTTTAATGAATAGCCCCTTAATGTTCTCGCCTACTCGGTTTACATGTCGCCGACGCTTCCTTCAACGTTGACTTGCGGTTTCAACTCAACTCCTCCGACAATCCATTGCTTCCAAATGGATAACTTGTCCCCTTTCCCCATTATTACGTTTCGAAGATCGTTTCCACCACGCTGAGTTGAGGTTTCAGCTCCTCCTGCAAGTTCGTTTCTGTCATTCCATCTCCCATACGCAAATGAATGACACGAATGAACGAATGAATGAATGACTCAGGGACTTTACCTGATAGAGCGCGACCGAATACTTGAGTTTCATCAGATATTTCTTCTCTTGAAGCTCCCGATCATTCTTCTCAGGTTTTCTTCACCATCCGTTTGTTGCAACAGCGCGTGTGCGGTTTGCTTTAGGAGTCTTCTCTGCACACTAGAATCAGATAATCTGCTATGGAGACCAGAGACGCATGCGCGATTCATCGACCGATATACCTGATGAATTTGAATACAAAGAAGCTTACGTCGTTGAATATAGTGCTCCACATTTCGTCGTCGCTTTCACCTCGTAGTAGAGCTCGTAAGAGGAAGAGCCACTTGAATGTCTTCGTATTTTCCTTGCATTTAGAGCAATAGTATGTTTCCCCGGGTTGGGACTCCACTTTTTTCAGACAATTAGTTTTGGCGCAAGCTCTATACATGAGGGAATTCTGAGCAACGGTAGCTATTCTGGCCCGGGTCCAAAACACGAACGGTGGCGATTTGACGCTCCCAGCTTCGATTTTCACCTCGCGTTGGGCCGCCTCGAAGTTGACAGTTTTCATCAACTCCGAATTACGATTCGAAGAGTTGTCGCCGGAAGCCTCGAGTCCGTGTTTTCCCACCATTGACTCAGTTTCAGGAGGCGTTCGTTCCCCAAATCGAAGTCTATCTTGGAAGCGGATTCACAATTCAAGCTCAGGTTGCCACGGAATATGTTGATTCGTCCGTGTCTAACGGAGACTGCAACCTTTTCCACCAGTTCAGTGTTCGTCCTTTCATTCCAAAGGTTGATGGTGAGAATTTTTCGGTCCTCATCGACTATGCGAAGTTCTCGCTTCACGATTGGTTTGCCATCCCTTTTGCGCGTGAATTCTTCCACCGGGGAAACATGAATGATCACACCACAAACGTCGACTATATCGTTCTCTTTCATCGATTGGAGCTCGCTAAAGGACACATAATTTGGAGACTTCTCGGCAATCCGGAGCGTGGCTCGGTTCAAAGCTCGAATTTTCGTGCCTTTGTTTAGAACGATTTCCAGCTTGCTGCTTGTTGTATTGAAAATCGGATTAGCTTGACGGCAAGCGAAACCCTCTATATCGTACTCCTGGTGCTCCTGAAGAATTTCGGAAAACTGCAAGCAGTTATCATTGAAGGCAACGATTTGAATGTCCGTGGAAGCGTCAACCACTTGGCTAGGAGAACACTTTCCCATTGCTGCTCCCTTTGCTCCATGTGTGAATCTCCTTCTTCGATACTACCCGGAACTGATACTTTTTTTGTGACGGGCCCATCTTCAACTCGCTCAAATTCGAATATGAAAGTTTTGAGCTCTGCTCCTCTAGCTCTCCCGGCAGTGAGCGTAACCTCCAAACATATGATGCATCCGCGAGAAAATAAAATCGTGGAATGCATCATCCACAGGAAAAGATATTACGACCTTCCGTAGAACGTTTCTAGGCTCGGAGCGGCTCACATTTTTCATCAGTATGATTCAAACCTTCAAACCGACTCATTTCGTAACGCCGCTCCTAGTTTACCTAAAAATTACGTCCTTCGACGAAACACCC